ACWTWYTTTWWWAWWWTKTWAAAGTTATCTTTTTACACAACTGTTTCTTTAGAAACAYCGACRCAGYTCACACTAGTTTACCGCTAGTTCCCACCATAATTTRATTTATATGGGGGTAATATAACAAATCAAGGGGGGGGCATGTTGGAGGTTGTGAAATGCACGCTATAGATGGTAATTTCACAATCTTTTAATAAAACTGATGGCGTGGATAACAAAAAAAGAAGAAAAATATGGAGTTTGCAAATGACCATTTCATTTTATTTCCATCATGAGTTTCATTCCTTTCATTTTTGTTTCGTTTTGTGTTCCGTAGTGTGGATGTTGGATTTCAACAGTAGTGTAGTTTTGATTGACAAGAGGAAAAAGGAATCGAAAAAGAAGAGCGCAATGGTTTGTGGGCAGGTATAGTGGTAACCAAGCAACGGCTGTACATTCTCCCTTTGGTCACAACAATATATCGGACACCGCATTTATACGGAAATCTTATTATTACGGGTACTCTTAAAAAACTTAGAAAGATTTTGGAGTTAACCCTGGATTAACGCTAAACGGGCTTTGAACAACTCGGCCCAAATGAGTACCCGGCAGCTCCAAACGGAAATTTCCATTTGACCCTCGATATTGCGGACACCTGATTAAAGTTCTGGAGGTGTCCGGCATAACTAGGGTTGATTGTATTAACTTTTTAGCGAATATAGCGTACTAAAAATAATTTGAATTTTTGTAGCATCACCTTGACAAAAAGCCTACCAAACAACAAAGACGGGCTGGAATGTGCTGCAAAAAGAATGATGACGAATTCTTGGAATGTTGTCGTTCACGCTCCGTGTAAGTCTTCGTCCTTAAAAAGCTTGAAATTTGAATAAAATTATTATTGTTCCAGTCTGGTAGAGAGAGTAAAGAGTACATGATAGAAAGGGTGTTTTCTCTTATATTATCAATCCTACACAATGCGACATTTTAGCCTCTTCCTTGCTCTTGTAATCGAACGGAGTAAACACAATGGCGAATAAGAAAGTTTTCTTTGTTTGTTTGTTTTTGGTATCATTTTTTTTTACTCATTTGATTTTGAAAAATYGGAGTTTGCCATTACGACCAAAGGCAGCTTTTTATAAAGCTAACTTATTGCAGTGTAAAAATTCGAACTAAGAACTTTTAAGTTTTAASTTTTAACTTTTAATTTAAAAATTAACTCCTTTTAAAACATATCTATCAAAAACAAAAAAACTCCAAACATTAAACAGAAACTCTAGATTTGTACAACTAGGAGTTAACGTCCATGAGAAAGGTTTTTTGCATGGTGATAAATCCGCCATACTGGATGGCAAAATGCCCACTGGGATGTTCAAAACAACGAAAAGTCAAGCTTGACGGGCTGCGTTACTTTTGTTTTTGAGGGTTTTTACATTCTTTAGCCATACAGCAAGGCGGATTTAGTACCATTTGACCGTTTTATTCAAAGGCTTATTGACGGGTGCTAAAAAACAAAAAAACAAAAATAAACAACAAAAAAACACTTGAATATTTATTTCTAAATTGCAGTAATAATTTTTTYTTATATTTCAGGAAATGATGTTTTAGAGTACACTTGGATCACAGTGCACACCCTCAATAATTATTGCAAAACGTCATTATAAAAATTAGTTATATCATTAGATTCAATTTGGAAATTTTGTACTTTGCCCTCTCGGTATCCCAGAATTCAACAAAGTGCAGTTAAGAGTCTATTTTGGAATTTCTGGTATGAGATTTGTAATGCATATGTATTAAAAGCTACAATTTCAAATCACGTGATACGCAACAAACTGATCACRAGTATGGCCGCCATCTTGAATTCTATCGTCTTCACTCTCGATTCACTGAAACAAGAAAGTTGCACACTTATAACGTCATTTTGAATGCTACACGATTCAATATGATATAATAGAATGTAAAAAAAACATAACTCAAGATCGCACTTGTTTTGARTCAGTTAAGGAAATTTAGCAGGTCGAAATCATAAGAGAATTATTCGGTACGATTTTTTCTGAAGCTATTTC